GAACCGTGGAGTTGGGCACCAACGTGCGGAAGCGCAGCCATTTCGTCCACCAGGACGCAGGCAATTTAGCGGAGACCTGAGCGGGAGAGACTCAAGAAGATACACCTCGTTCCTCCACAGTCCCGCTGCCTGATCCACACATGGTGCAGCTCCACACCAAGAACACAACTGCTCTGGCACAAGGGACACTAAAAACAAATGGCAGCTCGCCCGGCTGGGTGATCATTTTTGGATTATGTAATCCCAATACATTATTATTAGACCAAGAACAAACTCAAGCAAGCAACCGAAGACATTACCCTGCCTGTTCTGGCAAAGAGACAGGGACTTGTCGCAGAAATCGCACCGACGTGCTATCCGGGTGCACAGAACAGGTCAGACTGCACACATGTCGGACTTCAGGTAACACAAACAACAGTATTGGATTCCAGGCCATTATACATATTACACAACGCTGTCGTCAGTTATACCACATTTAAAACCAAACCGAGCAGAAGAAGCCTTAGCAAATTTTTTCCATTTACCTACTGCAGACCAAAATTAAATCAGAGCCCAGACTGGACAAACACGCGCTCCGAAGGTGTGTTATAAAGTCGCTTCTTGGCATCACCATAGCCGAGCGTTTCAGAGGAAGCAGAGACGTTCAACAAGCTGGAGAAACTGTTTATAGAACAAATGCAGAATGAGCATATGTGTTTAATAGCCCACTAATTGTTGCGTTATTCACTATACAAACAAGTGAGCTCTTCTGCCCTTATCCTTTCCTGCCCATTTAATCACCAGTAGCCTCTGACTATTTCTCTTTTGGGTGGCGGCGAAGGAAGCAAAGTTCATTAGTGGCCGTTGGCCACCAAACAATCTAGAGACCAGACTTCATTTAGAAAATAAACACCACTATTCATGTGTGACACGGACTCAGAATAGCTTCCCAAAATATTTAACGCAGCTGCCTGTAGTCTTCCTACTCTCCCTCCCCCAAAAGAAAAGGCTTTCCTAATATATAGGAAAGGATTTTACTATTTTTTTTCTTTCTTTTTTGGAGAAAAAGCTAATAACTCCATCTACCCAATGCACTTATTGCTACTGACTTCTCATAATGCTGATAAACACTCATTAAAATATAAGTTGATAAACCCTGGTACAGTAATTACCTTCGTCCCCACACAAAGATTGCCCAATTCAATGATGTGATGTAACCAACACCCCAAATTAAAAATAGTGTTGTGACAACATATGGTTTATCCTACAGAAGCTGGCAGGCAGGATGGTCCTAATGACAAATGGGTTAGGTTCCCAGCTTCCCCCAGCTCCCTGGCAAGGTGAGGAGACAGATACGCTCTTCGCAGGATCAGAGGCGGAAAGAAAAAAAAAAATAAAATTACAATAAAAAGGACAGCTTTTAATCCCTCTCCGGTCCAGCCTAACGACAGATGCCGCGTATTGCCATTATTCTTTATTTACGTGACTAATAAGCTCTCTGGATGCATTTCAAGGAAATATCATGGAAAAGACAATCTGGAAATTTCAAAATATAGCCCCAGCCTGAACCCGCCCCCCCCGGGGAGCAGAGCACCGGGCGGGGGGCGGCAGGGGGGAGGCCACAGGGCACAGCAGGGTGCCCCGGGGAGGGTGGCAGGGCTAGGGGCACCGGTGGGGCTGGTGGGGAGCGGCACCGAGCCCTCGGCTCCCGGGGCCCCCCGTCACCCACCACGGGGGGCACACTGGGGTCCCCCCAGCAGTTACCGGGGGGCGGGCGGAGCACAGACACCTCCCGGTCCCCCTCAGGCACTTACCGGAGGCTGATGACCCCTCCCGGTCACCTCCCCGGGGGCCCACAGGGGCCCCTCAAGGGCCAGGGGGGAGGGGTGGCCCGGCTACCCCCAGGGCGTTACCGGGGGGGCACAGCGAGACCCCTCCGGTCTCCCTCAGGTACCTCACAGCGGGATCGCCCCGGTCTCCCCGGTAACTCGTGCAGAAGGGGGGGTCCGGGAGCCCCGCATCCCCTCAGGCTCCCACCGGGGAGGGCCTCGCACCGACC